CTAGAATAGCAAAGGCAATTCTAGGCAAAAAAGGCAAGACAGAAGGCATCTCCTTTCCTGACTTGACATTATACTGCAAAGTGACACAGATAAAATCATAGTGGTACTGGCAAAGAAATAGACCTGAGGATCAATGGAACAAATTAAAAGATGCAAACATAACTACAAAGACACTCAGCTACCTTATATAGGACAGAGATACTAAACATGTTCACTGGAAGAAGTATAGCCTCTTTAATAAATAAGGTCAGAAACATGAGTTTTCCACATGCTGAAGACTGGAACTAGATCCCCGGAGCCCAACCTGTTTCGGACTGCCGCGCCTAGCCATCAGTGTGCAGAGGAGGGGCTGGGCAGATCTGGGGCGCCTGCATCAGCCTCCCTGTATGTCTGGAAGATTGTGCATATCTCAGCAAGCAGGGAGGGATCCCAGGTTCCTGAGGCACTGCGGCTTGTGGTGAGTGCTCAGCGCACTCTGCCCAAATCCCAGCCTAAATGGCCAAAAACTGAAAGCCTTTACTTTAAAATCAGGCACAAGACAAGGATGTCCTTTATCACCACTCCTATTTAATATAGTACTGGAAGTACTAGCCAGAGCAATTAGGCAAGAGAGAGAAATAAAGGGGGTAAAGGTAGGAAAAGAAAAAGTTAAATTATCATTGCTTGCAGATGACATGATACTCTACATAGAAGACCCCCTAAACTCCATTGAAAGACTCTTAGATACAATAAATGAATTCAGTAATGTGGCTGGATACAAAATCAATACTCAGATATCAATAGCATTCCTATACATGAACAACAAAATCACAGAGAGGGAAATAAGAGAAACTGCACTCTGAACATTAGCAAGCAAAAAAATGAAATATTTAGGAATTACTCTTATGAAAGAAGTGAAAGACTTATACAGTGAAAATTATAATACACTGAAAAAACAAATTGAAGATGATCTCAGAAAATGGAAAGACATTCCTTGCTCATGGATAGGAAGAACAAACTTTGTGAAAATGGCCATTCTCCCAAAACTGTTATACAGATTCAATGCAATCCCAATAATAATACTCTCAACATACCTTATATTCTAGAGAAATCACTCCTAAATTTCATCTGGAACCAGAAGAGACCTAGAATAGCAAAGACAATTCTAAGCAGCAAAGACAAAGCAGGAGGCATCACAATACCTGACTTGAAGTTATACTACAAAGCAGCAGTAGTAAAAGCAACATGGTATTGGACTCAAAATAGAGCTGAAGATCAATGGAATAGATTAGAAGATACAACCACAACTACAAACACACTCAACCACCTTATCTTTGATAAAGGAGCCAAGCAGGTTCACTGGAAGAACGACAGTCTCTTTAATAAATGGTGCTGGAAAAACTGGCTCTCCATTTGCCGAAAACTAAAGCTAGACCCATGTCTATCACCATGTACTAAATTAAAATCTAAATGGGTCAAAGATCTGAATATTAAAATAGAAACACTAAATCTATTGGAAGACAAATTGGGTAGAAACCTTGAAGACATAGGAGTACATAGAGAATTCATGAACAGGACTCAAACCGCACAGGAAATATTTCCCAGAATCAATAACTGGGACCACTTCTTATTAAAAAGTTTCTGCATACCAAAAGAAATCTCCAGCATAGTGAAAAGAAAACCCACAAACTGGGAAAAGATTTTAGTGAACTCTCTCTCAGACAAGGGACTCTTGTCTAAAACATATAAAGAATTAAAAAAAAAAACTCAGACCCCCAAAATTCAAAGATCCAATCCAAAAACGGGCATCTGAGATGAACACATATTTCTCAGATGCATATATACAAATGGCAAATAAATGCATGAAGAAATGTTCACCATCACTGGCCATTTCAGAAATGCAAATTAAAACAGCATTGACATTTCATCTCACTTCAGAAAGATGAGCTGCCATCATGAAATCAACGCATACCAAATGTTGTCGAGGCTGTGGAGTAAAAGGAACACTTCTCCACTGTTGGTGGGCATGTACACAGATGCAGTGACTATGAAAATCAGAACAGAGATTTCTCAGAAGACTAGGATTGGAATTTCCATTCAATCTAGCTATTTTTCTTCCTGCATATTTACCCAGAAAAATCGAAAAGTCAAGTCTGAGCAATGTACGTGCACCCATGTTTTTAGCACTGTAATTTGTAATAGCTAAATCTTGAAAACAAGCAAAATGCCCACCAACTACACAAATGATAAAAAAGTGGTAGTTTTATACAGTGGAATATTACTTGTGTATAAAAAAGCATGATCTTGAGTATTTCATAAGTAAATGGAGGCAAATTGAGACTATTCTCATAAGTGAAATATATCACACTGACATTTGCAAATATTGTATCATCTCTCTAGTATAAAAATAATAATAAAAAACTGAATGAGTAATAAGATCCAAAATATATAATAGATATTATGATAATCAAAGGGAAAGAAAGTTCTCTAAAAGATATAACTGTATGTTTAAGTGTGCAAGAAAGAAAACCATACTACTAAGTTTTTGTACTATATCAAACTGAATGGTTTGTACTGTGATTGTTTGATTGTCTACTTTTTGCTTTGATTTTGTGATGTGAGCAACTACTTCTAAGATAACAATATGTAATGTATCAACTAGTAATTTATTACTTTTTTTAAAGTCTGTATTATTTTTATCCTTTTTTCTCTAAATAAAAAAATAAAAAACTTCACATGGTGTGGCATCAGATCATAATATTTGAAAGGGAGGGTGTCTTTTGTGCCCCTTCTAAGACGGTTGTGATTATAGCCCTTTCCCATGGAAAATGCAATCTCCTTGCGGTTCTGCCTCTGCCGCACAGATAGAGGTTGTTACTTATATCTGACACTTGGATGTTCATTTGATGTCTTCTGCTTCTACCTTGCCAATTCCTTTTACCCCAAAACCCTGCTAATATTTATAATTTCTTTATAGTAAATGTTTCCTCTTACCCTGCAAAAGCTGGATGCTGGCCAAAGTTGCCATAATGCAGAAGTATGTTGTATGAGTACCAGCAACCAATAAACTGAATGTTCTTTGCTGCAATATCCTATTGTAAACCCAAGTATAAAGCATTGTAATCCTTTTCCAGTCTTCCTCACAATCCCAAAAGTTGTACTTATCACTCCATCAAGATGTTATTGGAATCCCAGCAAATTAATTCCTATCTACCACCTCCAGTGCAACCCATGGCAAGAGTAAAGACATTAAGACATATTCAAAATTAATGATAGCCAATCCCCAGGAGAATGTGCAGACAAAGGCACTGATCCACGATATCTCCTAAAAATTATTGTCTTGTGAGGAAGGGAGTGGCTCGAGGATGAGTAATACAGAAGATAGTGGGACCTAGGTGAGTAACTTGAGCTGGCTAGCCAAGTAGGGAGAAAAGCACTTTGCAAATGCAAAGAAAATGACATGGAGAGCACCAGTGTGCATAATTCAATTAAGGAAGTGCCATGGTTTGTGTCATTGGCCACCAAACCTCATGAATTATGGACTCGACCAAATCTAGCGTTTGTGATTGGTTCATTGTCTAACACTCGGATTGGTGGTGTGATTGCTACACCTGCCTAGGTGTGGAGTCAGCATACTATATAATAGCAGGAAGAAAGTGTGTCTCTCCCTTTTCAGTTCCTGCCTTGCTGTTTATGGCTGCCATAGACTGTATCCACACCACACCACCATGCCTTGGTGCCAACTGAGAATGAACTGAAACCTCCAAGAACTGTAAGAAATAAAGGTTTCCTTCCTTCATTGTGGACTTCAGATGTTTTGTTTAAGCAACAACTAAAAATCAAGTAAGACAAAAATTGGTACCAGGAAATTGGGGTGTTTGCTGTGTTGTTATCTCGCCATGTGATTTAAGAGCCTTGGAAATTAATTTGGAAAGTTTTTGAGAGACTGGCCAAAAAGACAGACCTTCAATGCTGTCAGCTACATTAAAGACTCAGACAGAGCCTGGAAAATCAAGAAGACTGATGGAGACGCTGCCAGTTAAGATGAAGCTTGGGAGGCTTGTGTTGAGAAGGACTGCAGCCTCTGCCATGGGTAGTATATTGTAGGTAGTATGTTGTGCTGCAGCTGAAAGTTGGTCTTCCTTTTGTTTGTCTTTAGAGATATTACCTGGAGGCAGGAAAATTCCAGTGCAGTCTACTGTTGGGATGGTAGCACAGTTACTTCAGAGAGCTTTTGACAAGATTCAGTTGCTGAGGATGACTCTGGTGCATTTTAGGGAAGCCCTGTTTCTTACTTTGAGTGTGACTTCTCAGCTACCCCATAGAACACTCAACTGATGAGAACAGCTCCTTCACCTCACTAGCATGGACTTGTTTGCTTCTGCAGCTGACCTTTGGGCCTTCCCAGCATGGATCTATAAAACACACTGATGGGAGTCCATCTCCTGGGTTCTAGACCTCCAGCTGGATTTGAGACATGTTATATTAGGTTTTCATCTGAACTCCTGCAGAATATTACTGTGTGATTCAGGCTTTTAACTGAATACTTTCTGTCTTTAGTGTTGTGGACAGATTACAACAGGTAGAAATTGAGGTTTTTTGGAGGCTGTTGCTTCACTGTTTGAAATGTAAACTTTTGTTACCTGGGTACTCACAGGCTCTTCATTTTGAGGCTCATACCCAGATTCCATCTATAATGAGTCAGAAGCTCAGCATAGGTGACCCTCTATGACCTACATGAGATCACCCAGGAGCTGAAATACCTTGTGGGCCCATTCCCTTCTGATCTGTGGGAAGGCCTCATGTTTGACTTCCCCTGGGGTTTCCTGGACACTGTGTTCCTTGTGGAGCAGGTTTCTTGAGCTCCCTTTGTGTAGCTGACTTCTATGAGGTCATGTCACTCCACTGTGTCAGCTAAAACTAGAAAATGTGGGTGGAGCTGGAGCCTTATAATCAGTCAAGTTCTCTTCAGCCTGTTTCCTCGCTGGTTTCTCCGGGAGCAGCTCCTTGCACACTCAAACATGAGTGTCCTATTACTGGTGCTGCTACTGGGCCTCTCCACCTTTCTCCTAGGACTCCTTGTCTGGAGCATCTGTAAGCACTTGCTCACCACAGATGTCCCCTCTGCCTTGAAACATCCTCTCAAGCTCAGAATTATGCATTGCATGTTTATATATGCGATCACCTTGGTGAGTGTTCTTTCAGGTTCCACCATGAATCGGGGTGCAGTCACTCTACCTCCCTCTCTTCTCTTTTCATTTCCTTTTCCTCTCTTTCCAGATTCCCCCAAGACAGACAAAGTAGGATTTGCTACACAGTTTTGTATCCATTTTTATGTTTTTCCCTTTTTAGTGCTTCCCTCCCTTCTTTTTTCTGTATTTGTTATGCTTTTGTCTTCATTTCCATGTCTGTTTGAATCTTTCCTTTCCTGCTTTCATTGTTTATACTCTTTTTTCTCTTCATCTTTCCTCTTTTCCCTTTCTTCCCTTTTTCTATATTTCTTACCTTTGTTTCCTCTGACCTACCTACATTCTATACTTTAATCCTTTTCATATTTCTTGTTTCTTTTCTTCTCTCCCTCTCTCCACTTTCCCTTTCTTTGTTTCCTTCCTCCTTGCTTTTTCTTACTGTTTTTCCTTCACAGCTTCTTTCACTCTCTCTTTCCATGTTTTTGTACTTCCTTCTTTCCTTCCATCTGTTTCTTTCAGTAATTTTCTTTGATTTCTTTTCTTTTCATCCTCTCCTTCCTATCCTCTGCCATTTCTTCTCTCACTAACTCTATCCCTCTATTCTTTCAGTGTCAAATAATTCAGAAATATAATCTGTGAACTCTTTCCTGAGGACTGAAACTCAGTCCTTGTCCACCAAAGGCATGATGGGGATGGATGCCTTCTTCAGTTTGGTATTTTTCTCCCTCTATGCACTTATCTTTCCACAGAGGTTTTTTCCTACAACATTAAGTTCCTCAAAGGTAGAGTTGCTGTAGTCAGCTTCAAACAGGGCTCTAAGCACAAGGTCAAGGACCTCACAAGTTTTCTTCATTTATGAAATCTTAAGTAAATTCAGCCACCATTTCAGGGTGGCCATACCTGCCAGTCTCTTCATAGCACTTCAGGGTGATATGGTGATAGCACATCAAAACCTGCCTAGAGTTGCATAAGGGGATAGAAGGATTTTCTCCATATAGGAGGCAGACAAAGTGAGTTAAGTCCAATTTCACAACTCTGGGCACCTAGGAATGGACAAACAGTTCACACTGATTATCTGTGAGTGCAACTGTACAGGAGGTGAGGAAATCTAATAGCAAGAAGTATCAACTGCAGCCAGTGTACATTTTTTATACTGCCTCTTACTAGCTTTATAATCATGGGCCATTTGCAAGACTTCTTCTTTCACAGTTTCATGTGGGAAATGGGATGATGAGATCTGTCACCTTAGTTTGGTAACTATATTAGATGATGTGTGACAGAGATGAATAGTTTTAGGAATGTTGGATTAAAGATTCTGTCTCTGAAATGTTGGTGGATTTTTTTTGTTTGTTTTACTATTGACATGAATCACTTCAAGTCTGAACTTAAGGCATGGAACAACGTAGAGTTCCAACCCCAGCCTTGTCTCTGCTGCTCTAACACAGAGCATGTAACTTATAAACAAAAATGTTTTGGTTCACACTTAAAGGGTTTGGGAAGGACAGGAATATGGCAAAAGCAATGGGTACTTTGCAATATGACCTGGCAAAAAGGCAAGCACGCCTATAGTTGCAAGACAGCAAACAGAGTGAACTCATCCTTTTATTTAAGGAACTCACTGCAGAGATAACTAATCGATTTCCTTCACAGCAGATTGTGTGAATCTTGAGAGGACATTGCCAAATCACTCAGAAAGATTTTTACTTCTATGATGTCAATGAAATTTCAACATGAGCTTTGAAGAAGACAGAGTTTTCAGTCATATCAATATCATTATACAATCAAGACCATGTACCTGCGGGACATGAAAACCCAGCTCTCTACTGCTCTATGTTATCCAAAGTCCACAAAGATGCAATGAGTGAAATAAACATGCAGAGGCAGGAGAGAAACCTGGGATGCCTTAGCAGGGGTGGTGTTGGGGAGCCTGCACTCTGGATTCTAATCCCACCTCTACTTTATTTTCCTTCTCTTGCCTTCCACAGGGAAACATACTAGAGAAGCTGAGCATTTGCTCCATGCTCAGCTTTCTCCGTTTTGTACAGAACAGATTGGTTCAAAAGACAAAGAACCCTAAAGTGGTGGTGACAGACCTGCACTTTGGAACAATCCCTGTGAGGCTTTTTGAGCCCAAGACAATGTCGTGCAGCCCAAGGAGAGGCATCATCTTCTACCATGGTGGAGGTGGGGTGTTGGGCAGCCTGGGTAAGGAGCCTGCCTGATGTGTGGAAGAGGAAGGGTGGGTCACATGGATGATTTTGTGTGAGATCACAGAAGACTCTCATGGAGTGATTCAAAGGAATCGGCCATAGGAGTTTCTTCAGAGGAGCTTGTTGGGGCTCACATCATTTAAAGGCATTGCTACCTCCAGTAATGGTCTCCATTTGTGTGATAGTTTGAGCCCCTTCATCACTGATCAGATTTTGACTCCTGCTTTTCTTACTTACAATATGGCTGTTGGCCCATTTTGTTTGGCCCAGAGTGATTTTCAACTGGTACATTGTCCTCAGTTCTGCAAGGCCATAGGGATACAAACCCCCCTGCTCATGCTTACACCTTTTACCTCCAGGAGAATTCTTCTAACTGGTTCTGAGCCCTTGTAGCTCTCTCAGCCTCACAGATCTTCCTAAGGCTGTGGATGTATTCCAATGGTGGAACATTTACTAACATGAGTGAAATCCTGGGTTCCAGCCTCAACACTACCAAAAAAATTCTTGAGACATGAACTGAGAACTCATCCCATCTGTCAGTCTTATCTTTGTGAATAGCTTTCACTTTCAGAATCCCCAACACTCCTGCCCCAGATTCTGTCCAGAGATCAGTGACAATGAAATTTCAAAACTTAAAGCAACATGGGACAGCAAATAGTTCCTAAGCACTTACTGTGAGGCCCTTTCCACACATGGGGCACTCAGAATGCAAGAAATACCCAGGCCTTCATCTCAAGTGCCTGTCAATCAGTAGGGAGCTGGACAATGCAAGCAGTAGAATTCACACGGTGAGAGCTTCATATGGTGGTATACTAGGATGCGAGAATAGAGAGTGTCTCAGAGTCAGTGGACTGGGTTCCTCTAATTAAATCAAGTTTCTTTTAGAAGTTAACATTGGAGCCCAGCCCCAGCTGATGATGAGGAGTAGGCACTAGTCATGGGTAGCAGGTCATTCTGAGCTGGGTGGGGACCTAAGGCATCTCAGCCAAACAGGTGCCTTAGGCTCTAAAATGACAGACAGAAAAACCCTCAGTTATCAGGATAGTACTGTACATCAGAGGAATATTTAAAAGAACAACACAAATGTAACAGAGTAAATCGACTTAATATCAAAGAATTAGTAGGTAAGGTTGAGAGACTTTTACAAGTGCAAAGTAGAAACCTGTTTAGAACTTTATTTTGCTCATTGCAGCATGTTTAGCATTAGTTTTGGTTTGTAATAGTTTGCATCAATACATTGTCTATCAGAAAGATTTTGCACCCAATTGGATGCCTCACTTGCTCCTTCTAACCTGGCCTTATTCCGTCTAGGCTACAGGGTTTCAGGAGCAGAGCAGTACCAGCTGATTAGGCCCTGATGGCAGAAGATCAGGGTGGCAGAGTGGTTGATCAAGCTGGTTAGGGCTTCATGGCCCAGGCCATGGCTTGCAGCGGTTTTGACATTGGCTATCTTTAACCTCCCTTGGGAGCTTTAAGGTCCAACTAATCCAAGCTCAGCTCCAGGCTTACTACTGAGTCTCTATGTAGGGTGGCCACAGGTCTTAGGATGGTAAAATTTCCTAGACCACCTGTTGTACAATGGGTCTGAGAAGTGAAGGTCTCATATGTGCCGATCCTCAGTTCAGCTGGCCATACAGGATGTCTGCTTCCCTTGTGCACTGTCATCTCTATTACGTGCCACCGTTCCCAGCTGCTTTCTGGATCTGCACATGGGAATCATATGATGTGATTTAGAAAATCTCAGTTTCCAAGCCTTCATCAAGAGATCCTGATACCATGATTTGAAGTCAGCCCTTCAGAGGATGTGGATGGGCTCCCTGGTGCCTCTGTCTGAGAGCAGGGGCTGGGAAGGGCTGAACAGAAGCACGTTTGGCAGAATCTGAGACCCATAGTGGGCTACTATGGGTCTACTCAAAGTGCAGCCTACTCAAATCAGTGGATCTTCTGTTTAGAACTTCAGATGATTCGCCTTCTTCATAATATATCCCATCCAGCCATTGCTTATTTCTCCATGAATATAAATACACCATATGGTTAATCTTTCCAGGAGCCATGCTCAGCTTGACTTTCCCTGGTTTTGTCAATTTCTGATCCCTAAGCCTTCCTGGTTCCCAGTATAAAATTAATTGATATAAGTGAACCCCAAAGTCTCCTTCCTCCTTGACAGTAGGGAGATTGGGGATGATGTCTTAATTTTCCAAGTCTGTGCCTATCAAAGTAGGAGGATCCCAGAATAGGAACAGAGATAGGACATACCCAATGCCTACCTACCATGTGCTCTGCCTGAGGCATTTGGGGAGTGCTGGGCCCTTCTCACTAGCCACCTTGTGTTTGGCTTTTTTTTATTGCAGATTCTTACCACAACCTGTGCCTTTTCCTTGCCCTGGAGACCAATTCTGTGCTGTTGTCTGTGGGGTGAGTTTCTGACACAGTTTTATGTTTTTCCATGGGATGAAGAATGTGGCAGGGAGTTGCTGGATGATTGTAGAGTGGAGAGGAATCCTCAAACCAACAGATGCTCATGGACACACACCCAGGACACAGTTGCAGCTCCATGCAGAGTGGCACAAGCCTGGAAAGATGCCAGCTTCAGGGGAGTGCACAGATCAGCCCAGTGAGTGTGAATAGGATATTACAGTGCCTGAGCTGCCAAAGACTATTACATGGTGAACTGGTTAACAGTATCGCAGGATGTATTATGACATGAATGAACTTTTTTATTTTAAAGTGTATAAAACCAAGGAAAATAAATCAGAATAAAACCAATCTAATCTAACCAGTCTAAGTGATACAGGACTTCAAAGCAATACATAATCAACAATCCTTACCATATTGCCTCTTGTTGTCTACCAAATAGCTGCAGATATCTTCAGACATAGTAAAAATCCAGCAGAACAAAACAGAATGGAACCAATAAAAAATAACGAATGCAAATAAAGGACCTCAAAAAACAATAGTAAATCCAAAGTGGGTTCCATAATATATCTTGCTATCTGTGAAATAGCTGCTTATGCCATTGAATATAACAAAATCAAACAAAGGAAAATAGAACAAAACCCAACCTGACAAAACAATGAAAATGATATAGGACTTCAAAACAAGATAATAAGGAAATAACAATGGCCACCACCTTCTTAAAGTCATCTCCTTAGATGCTACAATGTGTACCGCTTTCCTCTGAAAAAAATGATCAAGCCCCCAGTCCTAGACTTGCAAGGTCAGTGAAACACAAAAACACCACAGGCATGCAATTGGGTTTCACCTCAATAGGTGTCATCGCAGCCTGTATTTCTCTGAATCAGATGGTTGCTTATGGTGGTGGAGAGGGTATGGACTGGCTCTTCTTGTTTGCCAGATCGTGCATGGGAAGAGCTGGATCTGGCTGTCCCACTGATAGAGGAGGTGCAGGGAGTGCTTGCTTCTTGGTCATTCCTTATCCTCTCCCCCCACACTCTGCCAAAGGCACTGACTCATGGGAAAAGGCTTGGGTCTGGCTACCTCCTGCCCACAGTGGTCTGCATGTGGTTGTTATGAATGAATCGTAGTAGAGCATTCATAAGGAAAATGATAAAAAATTATAGACAGCCTAATGCCTTAAAAATAGTGTTATGATAATTTAAATCAAACTAATACTTCTAAGGATTCTCATGGTTAAAACCAAAAAATTTAGAAAGGAAATGGGAAGGGTGATGTATCCAGAACTTCAGCAAAACCTCTTCTGGGCAGGGGAAGAACTGAGGTGAGAGAAGATAATGAGGTGCTCAAAGTTAGTTGAAGGTCTCAGTCTAGGTTCTGGGTGTGGTTGCGATGATGGTTCAGTAGATTCTTATTGTCTCTTTAAGTGACTTCCTACTTATCTACCCACAAAGCAAGGCTACTACAGGACAAAGGTGGAGAGTGTCTTAAAACACAATCCTGAATCTCTGGATGCAAGGACAGTGGGGGTAAATCATGAGAATTCTGCTCCTTTTCCCAAGAGATCTCAACAAGGAAGAGAACACAGTTCAGACAGGGTAGGAGAGAGAAGCAGAAAACTGCCCCTTTGCAGTGTGAATAGCTGATGTCCCCCACTAATCTTGGTTTCTCCTACTGTGAGTATAGAGTGTAGCTGTGTGACTCCAGCAGGCCTTTTTGCACCACTGACTTTCTGTGGAGAGACTTGGACCGTGGAGTCCTAGTCAGTTTTGTGTAGGCATCATTCTCAAGTACAAGCAACCTGACCCTGTACTTGATGGGTGAAAAGAGGCTCAACACTGCCTAGGAGCTTCTGGGTTACTTTTCCATTTCTCTGCACATATTCTAATATGGATAAAGGCCTTTCACTACTTGATGGCTGAAGAAACAACATGGTGGTTAGAAAAGACACATAACAGTTCTAAGGGACAATAGGCAAGCAAATTTTGTGTCATATCCTCGATCTAAGCATTTCTTAAATAATCAGTATTTAAGACCTCTATATGCATTTTTCTATGAGATCTGTTTGTGATCTGTCTATGAGACAGATCACTAGGTAGGATATGTCTCAGGAATAGGTTAAAGCATCGGAGATAAAATGTGAAGAACAAGGCCCCATGTCTTTTATTCCACTGTAGTAACTCAAAAATATCTGCAGTCTGAAGGGAAGAGTCCATGTTCTCAGTAAAGCAGCCTTCAGGTCTATGGCTATACCCCACAGCTGTTTCTGTAATCCAGGCAGTGGAAGTGGGGTCAACAGCAAAGCTACTAGGAAACTAGCAATGTATACCCCAGACGTATGAACTCCACAATTAGTTTTGTCAAATAGTCTCAGGGAAAGGGAAGGCGAGATCTTATTTAGGACATTTTTCTAGGTGAGAATTTCACAATTTTTACAACACTGTGCCTCTGCAGCTTTATGTGAGTTTCAGCTTGAGTCTGTTAGAATGGGTCCAGCTACAAACAGAAATAGTTTATTGCAGTGGTTTGTCTTCTCTTTCCAGGCTTTTGTCTTGGCACGTGGTGCCATGGTTGTTCCTAAATGTCTGAGGACCAGCAGGAGGCTCATATTGCCATTTCTCTGGCATTGCTGCTTGTTCCTCTTCCAAAACAAGTAGCTTTCCACTCCTATGGGTCTCTGCATGCATGGAAAATGGAGCCTGCACCAAGAATGTAGATTCCTGCAGAGCCAGATTTTGGACATACACTTTCTATTATCATAGGAAATCAGTGGGGATGCCCACAGTTACTTCTGAGAGGCTTCATGAAAATGTGACTGAGGAAGGTCTCCTAAGTACTGTAGAGGATGCTAAAGATAAGATGACCTGCAGGACACCTGTGAACAGGGTTCTTTCTTTCCTCCTTACACTTTAGGTACCGGAAGCTTCCCTACTACCATTACCCTGTCATTGCCAGTGACTGCCTGAATGCCACCATCCACTTCCTGAAGAGGCTGAAAACCTATGGTGTAGACCCTTCCCAAGTTCTGGTCTGTGGAGAAAGCGTTGGAGGAGGGGCTGCTGCCCTGGTCACTCAGGCCTTGGTGGGTCACAAAGATCTCCCCCAAATCCGGGCTCAAGTCCTGATTTATCCAGTTATCCAGGGTAACAATTTCCAGTTACCATCTACTCAGCAGAACCAAAATATTCCATTTCTCAACTTGGACTTCCTAATAACATGCATTTGTAAATATATGGCCATTGACATCTCCTGGAAAGATGCCATGCTGAAAGGCTATTGTATACCCCCAGAAACCTGGGAGAAGTACAGGAAATGGCTCAGCTCTGACAATATCCCTGAGAGATTCAAGAATACATACCAAGAACCCCAGTTTCCTGGGACTTTAAATGAGGCTGCCTATCTTGAAACCAAACATATGTTAGATGTACAAAATTCCCCCCTCTTAGCTGATGATGAAACCATTGCTCAGCTCCCTGAGGCCTTCCTGGTGAGCTGTGAGCATGATATCCTCCGTGATGACACCTTGCTCTACAAGAAGCGCTTGGAAGACCAAGGAGTCCCTGTGAGCTGGCACAATGTGGAAGATGGCTTTCATGGATGCATACTTCTATTTGACTGGAAGTCTTTCTCTTTCCCCTGCTCTGAGAAAATTTTAAATGCTGTGGTCAGTTATATAAAGGCTTTATGACAATTATACTGTGCCATGAGTAGTGTGAGACCAGGATATCTCTGCTACAGCTGGTGGTTATGCTGAGTTTTACTTTCCAGAAGAGATGCTAATACATCATGGCCAAGGCAAGGAGAATACAATGGAGTACAGAGTTCTCCAGCTGTAACTTCAACAAAATAAAAAGTCTGTTTCCTTTTACTGTTACGAGAGTTTAGTTTTGCTTGGAGCCAAATTATATTGTGTTTAGAAATAAATATCATTGGAATAGAAAATCGTCTTGCAATTTTTCTTGAAACCTTAAAGCAGAAGATCTCTACACCTGACACCACCATCCATGGAGGGCCTATATCTGCGATGATTAAAAATTGCTGGGTTGAACTCTGCTGGAAGGAGGAGGTGGTCACCACACAGTCCTTGGAGTCAAGGTCACTGATCACATGCCAGCTCAGAATATCTTCAAACTGGCCTGAGAAATATTTCTTCAACTAATCATGGCTTGTATCAAGCCAGCCTGAAGGTAGATTTAGAAAAATTTTTGCCAAAGATATACACAGGGCAGAGTCCGGGTAAGGGGCAAGAGGAGACAAGTAGTATATTCTGGGGAGTGAGGAGGTTTATCTGGACCCAAGACTTTCGCAGAAATCCCCAAAACAAATCTCTGGCTGCCATAGGGAATTTCTCAGAGGCTAGGCTGTGTTGGAAAGCTGTGGATGCTATGTGGATGTGGAACGTGCATTAATTCTATGAGGGAGGAGATGTTGCCTCTTTTCTCTGGTAAGTTTCTCTGTTCTTCCAACTTCTATATAGCACTTTCTCTAGATGGTCAGTCTCGGTGTCTGTGCTCATAGGGATAAGGATTCTCTATTTCTCATGCTGCTAAGGCCCATGGTAGCTACACACGGCAATGTTGATACAATGCATCTGAAAGAGCCCTATGTACCATTATGGTCCAGACTCATCCAATCGATGAAGGTGGACTTCCTTCCATCTATGAAAACAATCTGGTGGGGTACCAACCCTCTCACTTGTGATTGACAAAGGAAGGTTCCTATGTTGGCCCTTGATCTTTGGATTGAGCACTGATATTCCACAGACATCTGTGAAATATCAGCTGCTGGGTTTTTGGAACCATAGTTGGCATCATGATTATATGTTATATTTTAGGATCTTTCATAGCAGGAGTTTTCAATTTTTTGTTTCCTCTAATGGTAGCACTACAAATGTCCTAGTGTATCAGTACACATCTAGTACCTCATAGTTTGAAAGGGCCAGGGTTCTGCATATAACTTAGGTGGGCACTTAGATTCATGGGACATGATATCACGGTGTCAGATACCATCACATTTGAGGTTCAAATGGGAAGGCTCTGCATCAAATGTTGTCAGGTTGGTAGGAGGAAGGTAGCCTCTTCACATTGGAGACTGATGTAATCAGTGGCCCATCAGAGTTCTCCACACTGATTTTTATGGACATTCAGTGTCATATCATATCACTTTAAAAGGTTAAAGCAGTCAAAGAGAACAGATGGGACCTAGTGTCCCACATATCTGATATAATCAGTGCAATAGAGTCAGGTACACAAATCTCATCTGATTTGACACCTTTGCAAGATCTCATCTGAAGGAAACCATGGATCTTCTTCAGACGTGGGGATCATAAAGCTTGTAACAGCACAAGTAAAGGCCAGGGATCATTGCAAAATCTGCCATATGCAGAAAGATACAGAAGATGACAGGAAGACCAGTAAAACTGACAAATCAGCCTAGAATAAAAAAGTTATTGTGCACCCATGAGCTCCACGTTCTGATGCAAGTGACAGCTCATTTCCCCAGGAGGGATCCTCTCACCTTCTTTAGCTCTACTTCCCTTCTGTGAAAAAAAATCCCTCTCTGATTTTTCCCAGGGGTCCTCAAAATCTTCCTGCAGCCTCTTACTGTAGAGATCTCTCTCCTGTCCTTGCTAGGATCCAAGAAGTTTGTATTTGCAATCCCTTGGAAACGTTATTGGAATTCTACCACTCTATAACTTAGAGTGATTCCAGTTCACCACTTTCTGTGCAATGCACAAATGAGAATGAAGGCACTAACACATATTTATAATTGCGGTAGGCCAAGAGATACTAAGTCCAGCCAGGATGATGGTTCATCAGAACAAAGTCTTCAACCCAGAGATTAACCCAGATTTTTTTAATTCATGAAAAATGTGGTGTGAGGATGAGTGACTGTGACAATGTTGGGACATACATGAGTACTGTGAGCTGGGATATGTAGGAGGCCTTAAAGCACCTCTTCAATATGTAGAGAGAATGATATGCAGAAAGACCAACCTGCAAAACATAATTGAGATACCATTTAGTGTTTAGTGACACAAGGCTTTGACTATGATATGCAAACTTTTCTGTCCTGAAAAGTCATAGTCTCTTATCATGTGGCAAGAACCTAGGTGACAATTTTAGCTCTATATCCTGCTGGGTGCAACCATGTTTTGATGTGAGTCACAGGGTGCCAAACAGCTACTGTCAACTAACTTCAAAGATTTTGCACCAGCACCTCAGATAACCTTATTTACACAGCTTTGAGCCAGTTGAAGGGAAGAGGAAATGACTTAGCCAGCCCTGTACATAACTGTACTTGGAGACAGGGCCAGGTTTAGCTGAAGTGTACATAATTGCTCTTTGTTCAAGGAGAGTCTTCCATCCTCCAAATCTACCGATTATTTCTGACACTCTGCTCTCAGGCCAGTCAAGGTCTCATCAGAACAGAGAGGAACAGATGGTTTTGTTCTTGTTCTCTCAGACTCGAAAGATAGCAGAGTGCTCTTGAAATTTCTGAATTCCATGGATCGGGCTAAATCTTAATCCAGGACCTGTAAGAAATCTTGGAAATGAATCAGTGACCCAGACAACTTAAAGTCACAATGGAAAATTGGATTAGCAAACCCAGAGCTGTAGTGAGTGCCAGAGGAGAGTTCAAGACCAGCTCATGTAGCCTTCACTGCTGATGCTCAGAGACCTGTAACCAGTGGGAAGTCCAGCAGCATATAAGGCCTCCAGCTAGAGTGCACAGGCTGGAGAGGTTGGACTACTGATATGTAAAATCTGAAGCAAAATAACAATATGAACTAACAGGTGGTAAGTAAGGTGAACCAGTCATGTGCTTGTGGACAAAGACATGTGGAGCAGAAGTAAGCAGGTAGGGTGCTTCCTTCTGTTTTATTTAGTGTTTTCTTGTCTTGCTTTTCTTTATTAAACAGCTGAGGAGAACTCCAACTGATCCGCCCCACGTTGCGCGCCACTTGATGCCGCCTGCAGACCAATCCGTGGGTCTCTGGACCATGGAGAGGGGATAGGGATGGGGGCGGGGCAAGAGAAAAGAGAGATGGAGACAGGATGCGTTTCCAATCGAGGCTCGTTTATTTTTAAAATGGCTACAACTTATATAGGGTGGAGGCGGGCCAATGGGGGAGGAAGAGGGCACAGAGTGTTATCTGATAGGTCATCATCACATCCGGATAGATGAAGTAAGCAGGAGAGGATTATGGGTAATGTAGGTGGACATGAGGCTCATGGGAAATGTAGGCTGACACACAAAATGCCCTCAGGCAGGAGGGGCAGGGCAGCAGCAGCTATTGGAAACCGCTCCCTACATCCAACCACAGAAAACTAGTCCCATATCACAAATCCAGAGACAAACAACAAACCCAAACCTATTTCAAATTCAACTGCAGTCTTGGCTAGAGTACACATTATGGGATCAGACTTGGACCAACCCAGATTTGTAAACTCTAGAGGAATCTTGCTATTTTTATTGTTCTCTCTCTGAGAGATTTTTATCTTTGTAGTGAACTGGTTACTCTGTTTTATTTTGTCTTTGTTTGTGTTTTTTCCTTTCGTTTTCTCCTTTCCTTACTGCTTTGCTTTGCTTTGTTTTACTTTCCATATACTTGTTTATATTTCCCATGTTTCAAGATTTTCTGTTTTTTGTTTTACCTTTTCCTTTTTTATTACTGCTTTTTATCTTCCTTTCTTGTTCATGATTTAAATCTCTAATCTTTCAATCTGTACTAGTCTTCAGTGTCTCTTTCATCCATTACCTTGCTTGACTTTGTGAGTCATTCATGTGAGTAAATACTCTCTCTACTCTTTCTGGTTCACTTGATTACCCCTAGGATTTCTCTTCCTATCCCTGGCTCTTGTGTTCTACAATTACCTAAAACTTGGATGATCATCCTTGTACATCACTCTTACTATTAATATATTTAATCAACCTCTCCATCCATACTACTCTTTACTCCTCATCTCATAAAGGGTAATATCACTCTAATAACTGTAAAAATATTGCATACAAATTTCTAGTAATCATTGTATTAAATTATACAATTGTAGAACTTGCTCCTATGCTTAAGGAAATCAAGCTAATAGTTACCACAGTCAGTTGGTAGTCAAGTTATTCTTGATTCTATGATTATTGCTAATTTTGATACTTTAATCAGGATGCCATACCTGTTATAATTATTCTTTCTGCCTGTATGACAATACTGTGTTTACAAGGGGTTCATAACCATCACCATAGCCCAATACCAAAAGGACAGGCCTTGAGTCAAGTTCATAGTGACTCCGCATGCTTAATATTTTGGAACAGTTCAGTCATGGGATAGCTAAAAAGATCAAGAACTATTTATAGCTAAAAGAAACCTTGAGGAGCAGACATCTTATAGCAAAACCTAGGCATAAGTGATAAAACTATCTAACATAAGAAATCTACAAGCATCAACACAAAAGCAAAAGTAAATAAAAAAATAGTAAGTGACAAGAGGAAGAAGCAAAATGCAAACCCAAACTTCTAGTCCTTCCAGGACAAATCCAGAGCCTAAACAGATTCAAGAAATCTGAAGTCAAATACTGGAATTTGCTGTAAAGATATTAGCAAAGATGGAAAAACAAATGGAAGAGGCTACAAGAAACATAATATCTAAGGTACAAAAGAAAAAAAAGACATTCAAAATGCATTAAATCAGAC